ATGCTCTTACTATAGCTATTCTTCTGTGATTTCCCAGTATGTATTGTGGCTGTTTCTTTCCCATGAAAGTTTATAAAGATATACCATATATACCGTATCTACAAAGTATTCCACCCTATGGATGCACCATAATCTGTAGGAATAATTCCATACTGCTGGGAATTTAGATTCCTTCCACCTTCACACTATAGCAAACATTCTTCTACATACATCTGTTTCTACATGAACCATCAGCAGGTTTTTTTCCCTAAGAATAAAATCCTAGTAGATTTACTAAGTCAAAGGGGATGTGTACTCCCAGAGCTTTCAATGCATATGTCAAACTGCCTTATGAAAAAACTGTAGCATAGTGCCTAAGGCACTTGACTGCTAACCAGAAGGCTGGCGGTTCAAACCCACCAGCAACTCCTCGGAAGGAAGGTTGGGCAATCCTACTTCCGTAGTGATACTGCCTCGGAAACCCAAGGAGGGGTCACTATGAGTTGGGGCTGACTCGACGGCAAACAACAACAACAACAATAACAACAAGTTTAAAATATGACTTTAGTAAAAACATTAAAGGTAAGACCTGAACATTCACCCTTAGCATTTGATATATTACATCACCCTTTGAATAAAGTGAGAACTAAACCCTGAATTCAAATTTACTCTCTGGGTGTTAGGGAGATAAAATGAGGAGATAGCTACATTGCTCAAGTGATCATTCTCTTTAGCTCAGTTATAATCAGGAAATAATATTTTTTGTCTTGTTTTATTTACTTTTATGTGGTAAAAAACATATATAACAACACCAATTCAATATTTTTTCACATGGACAATTCAGTGACACTGCTTATGTTCATCACGTTGTGCCACAATCACTACTCTGTTTCCAAATTACTCCATCCTATTAATGGAAACTCACTGTCCCCTAAGCAATGACTCCTCTTTTTCCCCAAATATCTATCCCTGGTAAACACTAGCAGACTTAGGCATCTATATATTTGCCTATTCTAGATATTTCATACAAGTGGGATCATAATATTTGCCCTTTTTTGACTGACTTCTTCACTCAGCATAATGTTTTCTAGGGTCATCCATGTTGTAGCAGGCATCAGGACTTACTTTTCTTTCTGGCTGAGTAATATTCCATTGTATGTATGTACCACATTTTGTTTATTCATTCATTTGCTCATATACATTTAGGCTGTTTCTACCTTCTGGCTATTGTGAATTGTGCTGCACTGAACATTGGTGTACTGTTTGTAAGGAAATATTTCTTATACATTAAATAAGATGATCTCAGACCTACCTGGGAGAGCTGTTTCATTGGGCAACCTATCTACTTCCAGGATAAAATCATCCTTGAAGAAAAGATAGCCCACTATGGAGAACAGGTAAACCAGGATCAGGGCCAGAACCGCTGTCAGGATGATGGACCGTCCGTTGCGAGTGACACTTTTAATGACATTAAGAAGAGTCTCTTCTCTGTACACTAAATCAAAAAGCTTTAAAAACAAACAAAAGCAGGATGATAGGACAATTTTAAGAAGGCTTGATGTTATATTTACATCAATATTCTATAATGGAAATTTGCTTTATAGGGCATTCACCCTCTTGGAAACGCAAATGGATTATACTGTTATCTTAACATTTCACATCTTGTTTGTCTTAACAGTGAAAACTGAGGTGGAAAAATGAGAAAAAGTAAACACAGAAAAGGAGGGCAGGAAACAAAAGCTACTATAAGTAGCATATGGAGCAGTTCAGGGTCCTGGAAATGGAGAAAATACAGGGTTGTACTGAGTGTCAGAGAGCAAAGGAGAGAAAAGTGATGAGCGTTCAGGCATATATTCACTTAGAAGGTATTTACTGAATGTCTACCAAGGGCCAGGCGCTCTGGGTACAGCAATGGACACGACCCTGCTCCTTATCCTCCTAGAGCAGAGTCTAACGGGGAAGGCAGACATACTACAAATAATTGCTAGGAGCAAGGAATTTGGCTTTAGATTCAGGCTCCAATCTCAGCTCAGCTCCTTACTGCCCTTATGATCTTGGGCTATGTCTTCTCCCCTTACCCTCTGAACCTCAGTTTCCTCAATTGCAGACTGGAGAATGTAGAGTTACTATAAAGAATAAACAAACAGCATATGTACAATGTTTAGCATATAGTTATAGATATTTGCTAAGTGTACAAAAAATGGTAATTGTCATTAATTTCCTGATGAAGAGACTGGGCCAACCTCACATAGCTAATAAGTGGCAGGGACATGGGAGAGGCAATGCACCTGGAAGCTTCACCCGCCCACTACTATTCCTCCCACCCCCACTTCAGTGGGGGGAAGACCCCTGCATTTCACAATGTGTTTAGAGCTAGGCTTACTCCTGGTTAATGACTTGCTGTTTGCATGAAGCTCACTTCATGGGAAATGGAGGATTCCTACAGATTATGTAGGTATGGGAAAACTATGGCTAGTGTTCCAAGACCTGCAATCTCAAGTATTTGCTGGGAGAATGGTAGGGAGCTATGGGAGGAGAGCTCTGTGGGGTTACGCTTGGACCTGCTTTAATTTGTTGCAAGACGTTGATCAAGCCATGTAACCTCTCTGGACCTCAGTTTTCTCATCTGTAAAATAAGTGAACTAAATGAGCTGATCTCTGAGTCCTTTCCAATTTAGAATTTTATATCTGAGTTCATTTTCTGGTCAGTTAGCCTTTCCGCCTCTCTAGCATCAACCTGCATCCCGAGACTAGTGTGGTGAAGGGCACAGGGTAAAGGACGATACTTACAAGGAAGGAAGGAAGAGGCATTTGGTCAATATAAGAGGGAAAAAACTAAGGGGTGAAAAGACCAAGTGCTGCTATTGATATTTGTTAAATATTTTCCAGTAACTCTATACAAAGCAGTAAGAGCAACTTCACACAACAGGTTAATCACACTTGTTTTCTGTGGTTGAGAACTTTGGAGAACAAAACAACCCTCAAATCATTAAAGTGATATTTTCTTTTCACTTACCTGCATTTTTAAATTTTAATACAGTGAACATGTATTACTTATATAAAAGAACTTTCGTCTAATCAGAAGAGTTCAATGGAGAAATCTTTGAAAACACAGAAAAGCAAAAAACAAGAACAAAAACAAAAACCACCAATAGTCCACCAGCTATAGACATCTAAGGAGCTCTGGTGGTACAGTGGTTAAAACATAAGGCTGCTAATCAAAAGGTTGGCAGTTCCAGCACCTCCAACCTACCAGCTGCTCCAGTGGGAGAAAGATAAGGCAGTCTGCTTCTGTAATGATTTACAGCCTTGGAAATTCTATGGGGGCAGTTCTACTCTGTCCTGTAGGTTTGTTATGAGTTGGAATCAACTCAATGGCAGTGGTTGGTTCTTTTGGTTTTGCAGACATCTAGTCAACAATTTATAGTTCCTTCTGGTCTTTAAAAAATGTAATATACACATATCTATTTTTATGAAAATATTCTATCAAAATACTGGTATTTAGTCAGCTTCTTTTACCTAGGAATTGTGAACATTTTCATGTCAAAAATGATCACCTAGTATTTTACTGCATAGAAAAAATACAATTTACTTAACCAATTTTCTTCTTTTAAATATTCAAGATGTTTTCAATTATATGTCATTATGAACAGTGCTAAGATACACACACCTCTGTATAGACCTCTATACACACTTGTCCAGTCACTTCTTTTCGCTGAATTTCCAGAAACAAAATCATCGGATCAAATATTGTAATAGCATCGCATTGTCCAATTTCTTTCTAGAAAAGCTGTACCAATTTATCCTCACAAGTAGAGAACATTGTCCATTTTACTCGATTCTCACTAGTACTGAGCATGATCATGCTTTTTTAACCTTTCCTTAGGTCACAGGAAAAACATGGGGATGGGGCTGTTGTTTTAATTATCAGGTCTTGCTTTAGTGAAAAGGATGAACATTCTTCCGTATGTTTGCTGACCATCTGGATTGCAGCTTTTGTTTACTGTCTACTTTGGAATTTTGCAATTTTTATCTTGGGGTCTTCACCCTTTTCTAAGGACACTCTCAATGCAGGCTTAAGATTAGGGTCAGAAAGTCTGTAGGTGTACCAGCACTTAGGTTACACACCTTCCCTTTCTGCTGGCATGGAATTTTTACAACTTAGTGAGATAAGAGTTGTTACTGCCATTAAGTCAGCTTCTTATAGTGACCCCATGCACAATGGGAAGAAATGCTGCCTGGTCCTGCGCTATCCCATGGTCACTTTCAGATTGCCCTATTGTGATCACATTGCCCTATTGTGATCCAAGGTTTTCATCGCTGATTTCCCAAAGTAGATTACTAGGTTTTTCTTCCTTGTCTGTCTTGGTCTGTAAGCTCCATCGAAACCTGTTCCTTGTCTGTCTTGGTCCGTAAGCTCCACTGAAACCTGTTTAGCATCATAGCAACACACAATACTCCGCTGACAGATGGGTGGTGGCTGTGTATGAGGTGCATTGGCCAGGAATCAAACCCAGATCTCCCATATACAAGGTGAGAATTCTACCACACAACCACCACTGCCCCCACTGCCTGCTGACAGTTTCTTTCCTTTTACAACCAGGACAATTCTTTTCAGCTCTCAGGTTTTTTTTTTTTTTTTTTTCTTATTTGTGGAATAATTTGACTGGTTTCAGTATTTTGTCTGTGGTTCTAAACAGATAACTTATATACTGCTTTTGACACTAAAAAGAACACATCACTTGAGGTCACAGGCAAGTCAAAGTCCAGACAGCTTAGAAAAACCCCACATATGAGAACACATATGAGAGATGTCTGGCCACAATCTAGTGTGACCTTGTGAAGTATTTCTAAAAATGAACTGAGCTCAGATAAGATCATCGGAAGCTCTGAGTTACTTTTTTTTTTTATCTGCTGCAAAAGACCTCTTTTTTTTTTCCTTCAAATTTTTATTGTGATTTGGGTGAAAGTTTAGAGAGCAAATTCATCTTCCACACAGCAGTTCATATATACTTTGTCTCATGACATTAACTGCAATCTTCTACAATGCAACAACTCTCCTCCCACTTCCTCCCTGTAATTACCTCTTCCCTGTGTCCTTCCGTCCCATGCACTCCTGCCACCTGAACTGTCTCCCTGTGCATACACTGCCCTTCTATTCTCCCATGATTAATCTCTCCAAAGAGTATTTCAAAACTAATATAAATGTTCAGCTCATATACCTGTCTTTTGTTTGGCTGGAAGCCACAGGAGTGGGTTCATCAATTCCAGACCTGAAGGGCAGCTAGGGGCCATAGTCTCAGGGGTTCCATCAGGCTCTATCAGACCAGCAAACCTGGTCCCCACCCGCCTTATTTATTTGTTAATGATTTTGAGTTTTGTTCCACATTGTTCTCCCACTCTATCCAGGATCTCCTATATAGATGCCCCTCCAAGTAGTTGACAGTGGTAGCCAGGCACCATCTAGTTCTCCTAGTCTCATAGTCGTATAGGCTGAGGATCACATGGTGTAGCAGTCTCTTGGACTAACTGTTTCCATGCACCTTTGGTTTTCTTCATTCTTCTTTGCTCTGGATGAGGAGGGACCCACTGTCACATCTAGATGGGCGCTTGCAAGCTTTTAAAGATCCCAGTTGCTACTCACCAAAGTAGGACGTGTAATAATGTGTTTGTGCAGTATGTTATGCCAGTTGTGGAAGCTCTGAGTTAAATCTTGTCTTTCCATGATAGATCATAGATTTGAAAGCACAAATGCCAACTGCAATGTGATCTACCCATTTCATTGAAGCTGGGACTTTTTCACATGCTCAAATGAAAGGAGATACAGTGTCATGCTTAAGAACTTGGTCTTGGGAGTAGATAGAGTTGAGCTGCTATCCTCTCTCTTACTCACTGTGTGATCTGCCACTTACTCACTGTGTGACCCTGGGCAACCTACCTAACCTCACCAAGCTTCAGTTTCATCATCTGTAAACTAGATATATTATCTGTCTCAAAGGTGGTTATGATAGAGAAAATGGAAAGAACACATGCTGAAAACTCAAGAAATGGTAGTGCCTATTATTTTCTGAGTCCCTAGGTGATGCAAATGGTTAACGTGCTCAGATGCTAACAGAAAAGTTGGAGGTTCAAGTCCACCTAGCAATGCCTTGGAAGAAAGGCTTGGAGATACACTTATAAAAATCAGACACTGAGAGCCCTAGGGAGCACAGTTCTGCTCCGACAAGATGGGGTCGCCATGAATTGCTCTGACTTCATGGCAATTGCTTGGTTATTATTTTCTAGATTGTGAGTCCTATGAGGACAGGGACTATATCTGTTGTTTCACCATTATATCTCCTGCATCTAGGATTGCCATCGATAGGCACTGTGAATGACTGAAAGAAAAGGATTCAAATGAATAGAAGAGAAGATAACCTCATATGGATATAGACTGCAGGAAAGGCCCAACTCTCAGCCAGGGTGAGTAGGCACTGTCTGAAGGAGAATCTCTTGCCTCCCGGATGAAAACCCTTGGTAGGGATGGAAGAGATCACCAATTGAACTCTTCTTGTTGGACTGGCAGATTTGGGCCTCTTCTGACTCACAGACTGGGACTCCATCCAATGACATTATTAAACGAGCCAAAAAGGCTCAGAAATATACATAGGGCTCTAAAGATTTCTGATTCAGAGTGAATGAAATAAGGCCACAAAAGTTATACATGACAATCACAAGTATATCCTGGGACCTCTCTGCCTAAACTCAATGTATAGCCAGATCTATTTTCAAATGAGGGAAAAGAATTAATTCTTCTTAGCCTGCCAACTTCTGCCACTAATGGAATGAGCTAATCCTAATGATCTGAATGGTGAATTCTTTATGGTGTTTTAGATGGGAAATGGAATGTGGGATGACAGTAACAACAGCTAGCAAGCACTGAGCACACACAGTGTGGTTGTGCTACTCTAGGCGCTGTACCTGCATGATCACATATAATCCATACAACAGCCTGCAAGGGAAACAGATTGCTCCTATCATTTTGTAGCTGGGGAAACAGGCACAGAGCAGTTAAGTAACCAGCCCAGACACCACCTTATGTATAGCGCCTCTTAGAAGAGCATTCCTTCCTCTCCCTTTTGCGAGTAAGACTCCTTTTGTAAGTCAAAGATCTTGATCATTTTACATCGTCACCAACATTTTCACATTTCTAGGCTATTTATGGATGGTTCTGCTTGAAGATCATTTTATGCTCCCTGTCACTTTATTTAAGCACACAGAAATGGCTTATCTAAAACTCTACAGGTCCAGCTAGATTCCCACTAACAACAGCAGAGGAAGCAGGTCTCTGATCAGTAATTAAAAAACCTGCTAAGTAGGAAAGTGACAGAACCAAATCATTTCTTAAACTATCAAGACATTAACCACTTGGCACAGATTTGAACACAATAACTTCCAATGAAAAGGTCTCCTGGACCCATCAGTCTACTGAGCTCATTATCATGGATCATGAGATTTTGAAAGTAGCTTCTACTCTTAGGGTCGCTACATTTTTTCCTGAGATTTTGAAAGTAGCTTCTACTCTTAGGGTCACTACATTTTTCCCATAAGAACTGTTTGATGATAGTCTCAAAAATACTCTCCTTGGCACGTGCTGGTTGAGCCCAAGAAATAAATAAAACAAAGGTGCATGTGAAGGAAGCATCTCCCAAACCAGATTGTAGGCATCTTCTAATACAGAAAAGGGAAAGATCTGCTGTACATGGTATGCTGTCCGGTAGTGCACCTCCAGGGTTCCTGATGGCTGACTTGGTTCCTGTGTAGCTTTCCTCTCCAGATCCTCCACATGATGCTTACAGTGAGGCTATAATCTCATGAAACTAGGCATACTAATCACTATTAAAAGGAAAGGTCTGTCATGAGATAGAGGATATAAGACACTTTCCTAGTATTCAACAAGCATTTTGACACTAGGTACCCACCAGCAAACTGTAGAAGAATTCATGGACAAAGAGCCCCATGGCACATATCAGCAAATACAACAAGTGATAAAGGAATTCCACATCAAGGACCATGGCTCGGTAGCCTCTGGTGAACGTTCCACAGTTTCCCACGAAGCTCATCAGAAAGATGATTTTATTGCAGACCTGAGAATGAGGACAGGCAAAGTCAGATCACGTGGATGACTCCCAACTTCAGACCCTTCAGAAGAGCTAATGGATATTCTCACACAAATCTATTTCAGTAACCATGACAGCAACTTATAAGGTACCATAAATTTGGGGACCAAACAAAAGCTGGACTATAGAACAGCTTCCTTTTGCTCCAAGTGTCCAAAAACCCTCCAAGAACCATTTTGCTTATCTAAGTCATTTCATTACTTTGCTTTTCAGGCATATTACAAATTACATGGTAGTCAAATAACTTCATGTTCAACAGTAATCAAGCAGCATTTGTATATGACAAAAACAAAATTAACACATACTGAGATTATGATTTTCAAAATGAGAGATGAATAATTTCTAACATTCTTATATGAGTTAGTCAAACACAGAAATCACCTCAATCCATGAACTCTGTGATCAGCATGATTAAAAATGTTTTCTGAATTTGTTACATTCTAGGCATTATAAAGTTGCAATTCAGTGAAAAGCAGACAGTTCTTGTGTTTGTTCCTGATTTCACAAGGAAAATGATACACACACACACATACACACACACATATATTTAAATAAAGAAGGAACTTCAGAGTGAGTACCATCCCCCTCTCCTTTCTTCTGGCAATAACTTCTCATTTTCCTTTGGGGATCCATCCATTTCCATATAAGTCGTGTGGTCCGAGTGGGGTCAGTCCTGGTCAATCAGAATACTGGGTTCCCCTGGCTATCCTGGGAGCTCTGGTAGCATAGTGCCTAAGGCACTTGACTGCTAACCAGAAGGCTGGCAGTTCAAACCCACCAGCCACTCCTCAGAAGGAAGGTTGGGCAATCTACTTCTGTAGTGATACTGCCTCAGAAACCCAAGAAGGGGTTGCTATGAGTCGAGTCTGACTCGACGGCACATAACAACAACAACCTGGCTATACTGACTGGCTTAGGGATAGGCACGTGACCAAATGGAGCTAATGACAGATTTTTTTCTGGAACTTCCATATAAGACATTCTTGTTCTCTCCCATCTTGAACACAGAAGGATGTATGCCCTGGGTCTGTTTCCATGCCATGAACCTGAAAACACCACCAACAGAGGATACAGAGCCAAAAGATGCAAAGGAGGAACTGGGCCCTGATACCACTGTAAGGGGCCCCTATATACAGCTATGCCTGAAGCTACTATCATTATTTCTCAGTCACATGAACACATACATTTTCTCCTCTTTTTAAACTAGCATGTGTTAGGTTTTCTGACACCTTCAATAAAGAAGCGCTAGTTCATCTATTGTGTAATGGAGACCCATGTTGTTAGAAACCTCACGTATGTAGTGCCTAAGGCACTTGACTGCTAACCAGAAGGCTGGTGGTTCAAATCCATCAGCCACTCCTCATAAGGAAGGTTGGGCAATCTACTTCCATAGTGATACTGCCTCGGAAACCCAAGGAGGGGTTGCTATGAGTCGGGTCCAACTCGATGGCACATAGCAACAACAACATCAACAGGTTGCTAGAAAAACTTCAATCAGTAGAAGGCTGCAGAGAAAGATCTTCTGAGGCACTTGGTAAAATCATCTTCTGCCATCCTACCTATCTTGGCCACAGGTGCTGGGGGAAGTTCTGCCAGTTAATCTGGTAGGTCAATGTAAGTGAGCTTTTCAGCTATCAGATAACTGAGGAAGCCAACACCTTCTGTGAACTTTTGGCTTTCTCCGACAAGCTAAACATTCAATACACCAGTTTTGTCAATATTCTAACCTCTGCCAGTGGAGGATTATTTCAGAGGGTGGAAAGGTATTGACTCTGGATGATTTGTGTTGATAGGGTTTCAATTAAAAACAGCAACCATGACAAAGACAATGCTCTGGTTGATGTTACAGGACCTCACACAAGCCCAGGCTTCGGATGTTTTAAACAGAACAATCCATTTCACTTGAATCTACTCTCTCCTTTACAGCTGAGTTTTCTCCTGGCTTCACCAGCAAGTATCTCCTATGCCTGGTCTGAACCTGCTGTCTCCACATCCTCCTGACTCTGCTTGATTAGTCTTAGATCTGGCTTTCAGTCCCACTTCTCAATTGAAGATGCCCTTGGAGAAGACTCTAAAGGCTTCTGGCAAGGATAAATCCAGCAGTCTTTTCCTATCTGCTTTTACCATGTAATCCCAGCTCTCTGCAGAAAGACATGGCTAACCACCTCATCCTTCTTTGCATTCTCCTAGCCCTTGGCTGCCCATGATACCAGACTCTACCTTGTCCTGCTTTTCAAGCTCTCAGACCACCAGTGTTTCTTCCTCCATCTGTCCATGGCTACTCTTCCTTTTCTGGTATGCTTTATTTGTGTTTCTCTTTTTTAAAAAATTCCCTCTAAATAATTATTTATTATAGCTATTCCAGCATCCCTTCAACTAATGTTGTAATGTTATTATAAATGGAAATTAATCATTTAATTGGAGTCTTTCCTCCAGCTGATCTATGTTAAAGTATATCCGTGGAATGATTCAATGCCAGAGAAACAAAAAAGCTACACAGCCCATAGAAGACAATGTCGGAATCATCAAGTGTCTTTTCATTTCTTTATTTTGTATTTCCTTTTAAATAGCTTCCCTTCACTGCAAGTGATACCTACATTCCCCTCCATAACCCTGATATCTCTTTAGCACTCTGGTCATGCATGTCCAAATGCCAGAGTGAGCATTAATAACTTGTCAATTCAAGCTAAGTCAATAATTTAAATGAATTTTCACCCTGAAAGCTCTATCTTTGTAAGACTTCACTTTGTTGTTGTTCTTATTTGCCATCAAGTCAGACCCAACTCACAGCGACCCCTCCTTGGGTTTCCGAGGCAGTATCACTATGGAAGTAGATTGCCCAACCTTCCTTCAGAGGAGTGGCTTGTGGGTTTGAACTGCCAGCTTTCTGGTTAGCAGTCAGATGCCTTAGGCACTTTAGTTGCCTGCATTCTTCTTCTACTCATTCATGACAGAAAATTTGGAGTTATCTTTGCCTCCCTCACCAAACTGTAATGCCTTCTTTGCCTGAAGAAAAAGCCCACAATCAAGGCCCTACATTTTTTCAAGTATAAGACTATGACCTACACCTGCCATATGTCACTATTTCCTTTTATCTCTGACATCTGTACCTTCCTTCTTCTATGCTATAACCAAGACTCAACTTCCTCATACCTAAATGAAAGAACCACTGGAGCCCCTTAAATGGTCCCCCTGCCTCCCTAATGTAATCCACATAATGTTGTTGTTGTTGTTGTATGTGCCGTCAAGTCGGACCCGACTCATAGCGACCCCTCCCTTGGGTTTCCGAGGCAGTATCACTACGGAAGTAGATTGCCCCATCTTACTTCCGAGGAGTGGTTGGTGGGTTTGAACCACCAGCCTTCTGGTTAGCAGTCAAGTGTCTTAGCCACTATGCTACCACATAATGTATAACTAATAAAAGAATTTTCAAGAATACGTCTTTGCATATAGCATTTCTCGGCTCAAAAAAAAAAAAAACCACTTCAGTCACTTCCCACTACTGGGAACAGTTTCCTATACAACACTAATCCTAAGAGATACCTAAAAAAAACAAACAAACAAACAAAAAAAAACAACAAACTATGGTCAAACAAATTTGGGAAATACAAATACACTGTTTTCCTTCCTTGGAGATTCAAACTGCATATTAACATAGTAAAGTCTCTGAGAAGTCCTGCAGTGAAAAACTTGCCTGCTTTTGTTTAATCCAGTGTTTCCTAAATTGCTTTAATCATGGAACCCTTTGTCCATCTAACACTTATTAATTTAGAACATGCTTTGGAAATGCTGATCTGGAGGATCAAATCCAATTATTTTTGCCTAAAATTTAGCTCCCTGGGTTACTTGTACAGGGTCAGGATCCACCCACCATATCAGTGCAGAAACTACAAATTAGGTGACATTCCACTCTTTATTGGCTCTTGACAACATCCTGGGCTCCCCATGACTCTGCTCTGGACTATTGGACCCATTAAAAAAAAAAAAAAAAGCTCTTCTTAATCCCTACTTCCCAGCAGGTCCTTTGCATTCATTAACATGTAACTTCAACTCTATCTCCTTCCCCAGAGCTTGTCAGCTTCAAGTAGTCTCTTCTCTTCTACAGTCCTTGTTGCCTTGCTATTTGAATACCCATATTGGGATACTTACTGTTGCAATGAAATATTATTCATCTTATTTTGCAATATCATTTCCATTTTTGTACAGTGACCTCAGCTTCCTTATATGTTCAGGGCAGAAACCTCTGGAAGGCATTTTTAGATTTCCACAGTGACTTAGATGTCCGAATTTCCTCCTTCCTTTCACCAGGAACCCTCCCCAATTTGTGGTTGTTCTGTTTACCTAGTGCTGCTCTGACAAGAATATACCACAAATGGGATGGCTTGAACAAACAGGAGTTTATTCTCTTACAGTTTGGAGGCTTTGAGTACAAGTCCAAAGTGCCAGGCTCTAGGGGCTGGGTGAAAGCCCCTGAACTTTGGGCTGCAGCTCTGCCTTTTGCTTCTAGCCCACTGAAGCTAGAGGCATCTCTTCACTCAGGCAGCTACCGGCTGCTGAGGCAAACAAGCCCAAGGTCAACAAATAAAATGGCATAGTCCTGATGTTACTAAACCACACAGCAGGTCATTAATTCAAGTCCATTTTAAGTCCAAGGTTGGCAGAGCATGGCAGGCTGCTGAACAATGACACAAATATACACAGAGTCCAAGTGTGTCATAAGCTAGAGATCGTTCCCAAAGCTGTTCCTTATATATGGGAAACAGCCCACATACCCAAAGGCAGCTACTCAGCTGCTCACAGTAGATTCCACCATGGAATTGATTGCCAGTCTTATCATAGGGAATACTACATCCAGCTGTCCAGCCACTCAACCAAGCCCAGCCAAGTTGACACACACACTTAACCTCCACAGTGGTCTTCTATCAGCTGTTTCCACTTCCTAACAATCTGCCTATACCTGCAGTTGGCTTTATCCCTTACCTGCACTGAAAAAGCATTTCCAAATATCACCACTGACTTCTCACATAACTCTTCTTGGTTCTCCCCTTACCTCTCTGATTGCTCCATCTCTGTGTTTCGAACAGTCCTCCTTCCCTTGCCTCTCTTCTATGTGGTCCTCACCAGGAGTGAGTACAGTGTTAACATTTGCTGATTGAACTCATTGGCTAAAATCTCCTCTCTCAATAAACCTTTGAACAGATTCATTAAAACTAATTTAAACCTCAATTGTTATTCTTCTTTCTGCTTAAGTTTTGAGAGAGAGATTCCCTAAAAATAGGGTGTTCAATGTCCAAACAATGCATTGAGAGGCTCATGGTACCATGAGAAGCTTTCTCTTACTCCTGCTATTTTCAAGTTGACCCAAACAACATTTTTCTGCAAGGAAAGCATAAGCCAAGAGATTCCAGGGACCAGAAAGGAAGGCATTTCTATTGACCTACTAACAAAAAATTGCCTATGAAGATATTTGTACTTACATTGAAAGCACCCAGAAGAAACAATGTGGGTTGTAACCCAACTGAAAATATCAACCGGAGGATTGTGGAAGCAATTAATGCCCGGATGCCATGGGGCTTAGGGAGAGCAATGACGATAGCCAAGGAGATGAGCATGGCTGTCCACAGCAGGCCTGACAAGTGTGGCTCCAGAGTCCCTGGAAAGACAAGGTGGATCTGTCATAGATCAGTGCTTTTACCCAAAAAGCAAAGACCTAAATGTGCTTAACTATGCCTGCTTCAATCATGTCTGGCCTTATCTGTTGCAACTCTCATCTCAAATTCTCTGTCCCAAACAGAGGAATGGATAAACAAAATGTGCTATATATCCATACAATGGAATATTACTCAGCCCAAAAGAGAAATGAAGGCCTGATGCATGCTACATCATGGATAAGCCTTGAAAATATTATGCTACATTAAATAAGTCAGACACAAAAGGATGCATATCTATGAGCCCATTTATGTGAAATATTTAGAATAAGCAAATGTATAGAGATCAAAGTTTATTAATGGTTACCCAGGAGCTGGTGAAGGAAAGGAAGACAATGAACTTCTGTTAAGAGTGATAAATCTGGGAATGGCTAAAGGAATGGTTGAACAACACAATGAACTTATTTAACATCACTGAACTGCACACGTGGAGACTACTAAAATGGGAAATATTATGTTATCTATATATTTTCTGTAGCGATACTGCCTCGGAAACCCAACGAGGGGTCACTATGAGTCGGATCCAACTCGACGGCAGTGAGTTTGGTTTGGTTTATATATTTTCCACCAAAAACAGAAAAAAAAAGGAAAAAAACTCTACCCCAGATACAACCAGTCCTATCCATTTGTTTCTTATTTCCAAGTCTTTTTACATGTTCCTTCTGCCTGAGAAATTCTTCTCCTTTTCCTATTCATCTCAGGTCTCAGCTTAGCTATTACCTCTCCCAGGAAGCCTCTTCTATTTTCTTCTTCCTCCCCAAAATGTGCCAGATGCTCCTTCCTTCTCTGTGTTCCTTGCACTCTCTGGCTATCCCTTGTTGCTGTTAGCTGCCATTAAGTTGGCCCCAACTCACAGTAACCTCATGCACAATGACACCAGACCATTATGATCCATAGGGCCTTTCATTGGCGGATTTTCTAAAGTAAAGTAAAACCAGGCCTTTGTATCTGGTCTGTCTTTGTCTGGAAGCTCCGCTGTTCATCATAGCAATATGCACACTTCCATTGTTAGATGGATGGTGTCTGTATATGAGGTGCAGTGGCTGAGAACTGAACCCAAGTCACTGCATGGAAGGGTGACATTTCTCACCACTGAGCCCCCATGGCTCTTGATCATCCTCATAGGAAACTATATTCTACTGGTCAATTTACTTGTTTCTCCCTCCCTAGTCTGCAGGCTGGGACCTCTGGTAGCATAGTGTCTAAGGCACTTGACTGTTAATCAGGGTTTGAACCGCCAGCCACTCCTCAGAAGGAAGATGGGGCAATCTACTTCCATAGTGACACTGTCTCAGAAACCCACAGAGGGGTCGCTATGAGTCGGGTCCAACTCGACGGTACATAATAACAACAACAACAGTATTCAGGCTCCCGGAGGGAAGTATTTGGCACCCAGTAGGTACCCACCAAATAAATAAAAACAGTAAATAAAACTCAGACATGTGTCACACTTTGCCCAAGGGAAGGAGAACTAGAGGCCTAAAGTTGAACTTTTATTAAAAGTATGCAAAGGAATATTACAGGTCCCCTGCCTGAATCAGAATTCTTCAAGGGAAGGAGGAAGGCAACTTCCGTATCATTAGCATCATCCCACAATTAGATTATCCTTGTAGTCAAAGAGCTTATACCAGTGTTTGTCATCTCTTGCTATTGCAAGTTCTATTTAGGGTGTCCCACGAGACGGCTTGGTTATATAACATGAGCCAACATGGCTAAAAATACAGTTCTGTAAAACACTCATTAAAGAAAAACACACTCCTATTTCAAATGCTGTCACATTTTGAATCTCCTTCAGATGTAAACAAGCAGCACTACATGATTAAGGCCACTTATATAAAGGAGTTTCACTTCTTCTGAACTACTGGGATTACAGCACCATCCAGGAAAGAGAAAAAACAGCATTTTCGAGAACTGTACAGGTTACAGCTCTTCCACAAATTTGCTGGCTGCCCTAGTTTATTTAGTCCAAGATTCAGTTTCCCTCTAAATTTGCTCCCCCTGACCCCAACCACTTACCTTTTCCCTTTTGATATCCTTCAAAAGGAAAACCAGCTTAGAAATGGGCTCAAACAGGTAGAGTTTTTTCAGTTTTAGGAAGAAGAGATGTTGAGGCACAAGTGTGTTCCTTGTGCATTTAACAACCATCAGATATTTTACTAAGCCTTTTACATCAATTATTATTTATTTAATCCTTACACTCACTCTATGAGGTTGCTACTACTAGCTCTATTTCATTGTAGAGGAAACTGAGTCTCAGGTTACATAACTTGCTGAAGGCAGTACAGCTAACGGCCAGAGTTATTTGACTCTAAAGTCCTTAACTAATTTTTTAAAAAAACAAAAAAATCAACCCCCCCCCAAAAAAAAAAAACCCTCAGCTTATTGGGGTCAATTTAAAGACAATAAAACCCATTCAATTTAAGTGTAAAATCTGATACACGTTGGCAATTTATACCACCACAATCAAGAAACAGAACATTTTATCACCCCCAAAAAGTTTCTTTGGACCTGTTTGTAGTTGATGTGCTTGTCCCATCTTCAGTCCCGGACAACTACTGATCTGTTTTCTGACACTGTAGTTTTGCATTTTCTGGAATTTTATAAAAAATAATCATATAATATGTAGTCTTTTGTGTTTGATTTCTTTCAGTTAGCATAATGATTTTGAGAGTCAGCTAGGTTATGGCATACATCAATATTTTGTTCTTTTTATTGCTGAGTAGTATTCCATACTATAGATGTACCTCAATTTATTTGTCCATTCAATAAATGATGGATATCTGGGTTGCTTCTGCTTTGGAGTCATTATGAATAAAATGCTACAAAGAATATTCAAATACAAATCTTGGAATTTTCATTTTTCTTAGACAAATAGATAATAGTAGTCTGTTGGATCATAAATACATATTAACGTTATAAGACGCTGCCATACTGTTTTCAAAATGATTGTACCACTTTTGCCTTCCAGCAGCCATATATGAGAGTATCAGTTGCTCCACATTCTCACAAATACTTGACGTGAACAGCCTTTTTAACTTTAGCCATTCAAGTAGGTTTGTAGTGGCAAGTCACTCTGGCTTTAATTTGTATTTCCCTGATAACTAGTGATATTGAGCATCTGTTCCTATGCTTATTGGCCATCTGCACATCTTCTTTTGTGAAATATTTGTTCAAATCTTTTGCCCACTGTTTTAATTGGATGCCTTATATTACTGAGTTGTAAGAGTTATATATTCTAGATGTAAGACTTTTGTCAGATGTATGTTTTGCAAATATTTTCTCCAAGCCTGTGGTTTGCTTTTCATTTTCTTAACTGCCAAATAACTGTTTTAAACTGCCTCTTAAAATCTCAATAGGATAAATGTGTGCATTATGATGAATGTATCCAAATTCTGAAGGGGTCAATACAAAAACCTGCTATCTTCCTACTATAAAAGCAACAGTGCTAGATTCCAAAAACAAACAAACAAACAAACTCTAAACAGATACCTTTGAGACATTTAGAGAAATCTGAATATGGATAAGGTACTAGAACATTTATTGATAGTTTCGTTAGCTAAGATAATGGCATGGAGATTATATATATTTCAAAATATCCATATAAGTTAGAGATGCACATTGAAATATATATGGGCAAAACAACAAGATGTCTAGACTTCTTTAAAATATTTCATAAAAAGTTGGCAAAACATTGATAAATGTTAAAGCTGTATTGATACATACATCACAATTCAATATACCTGTATGAAGATTTGAAAATTCAATAATAAAAAAAGTTTAAAAGTAGTACTATATTTGCTGGGAGTTCTGGTGGCGTAGTGCCTAAGGCACTGGACTGCTAACCAGAAGGCTGGTGGTTCAAACAACCAGCCACTCCTCAGAAGGAAGACTGGACAATCTACTTCCATAGAGATACTGACTTGGAAACCCAAGGAGGGGTCGCTATGAGTTGGAACCGACTCAATGGCAGTGAATTTGGTTTTTTTTTTTTTTTTTTTTTTGCTGTAATCATCATAGTATGCCCACAAATTCACTAAGAAATCTGAAGCTGCCTAAGTTTCATGCTTTTTAAAGATTGTGTGACTCATTAATTCTTAAATAAAGTGAAAAAGGGAGCTTTTAAGGCCACCAGAGTCCTGACAGCCACAAGCCTTATAAGCCATAGAGTCACATCAGCCCATATACCAAAGTCACTGCACATATCTATTTCCAATTTTGGAAGTCTTATTTTCATGATTCAACAAGAACAATACCAAACTCAAAGAAACATTTTCAGGTAACTAACCTGATCTTGTTTCTAGGCAGGGCTAACACAACCCTCCTGGTTAGCAGTGAGTTTAAGAAAATGTACCAAAACATCTTGAAAAAGAAATAAAAATCCCTTTGAGAGTGAAATGATGTGTTTGAGGCAATCTCAGTTACCATATAATTGAAAAGTCTTCCATAGGTCTAATCAATCTCCTTTCCCTTTCAGGAGATTTAATTATGCTTTCTGGTTTAATCCATCAACATGAATTTCTTAAACCCATGCTTTCAAAACAGGAAGTCTTAACTCATGCAGATTGGCCACAGTTGATGCAAGATTCAGGACATACCATTTTAGCATTGAAAGGACTCTTAAACAATCATTTCATCCAATGGGTCTCAAACTTTGATGGGCAAGATACGGATATCCCAGAGATTCTTACTGAGTTGGCAACTACTTTTTCATAAATTCTATATGAATTTCCCAATCATTGGCTTAGTCTATTACAGCGGACAACAAGGACTTAATGAAGTGGTAACATGGCAAAGTAGTGGCAGAGCCAGGCCAAGACAAAATCTCAAGGTTCCTTAGTCTTGGTATTCCCATTAGATGAGGCTCAACACTGAAGGGTAGGGAGCTACCAACTCATTGTCCCCAGACTCTAGCCTGAGGGCTACCACCAGTCACCAGTGATGAAAATGGTCAAGGTGTATAATGTAAATCAGTTTTGAGTATTTTTAAAGAAATGGAGAGCAAATGAAAACACATCCAAACTAATGGTTGAATAACCTATTATGATGAGCATGGCAACTTCCCCAACATAGTAGGAGACCTTAGGCTTCTGTTACATCCCACTGAGCTCTTGGCTGCCCATTCCACACACTTGACACTGCTGGATGACAGTCTGGGTGACATTCTCCTCAGAGTTCTGTAGTGTGTGTACTTGCCAAGTCTTTTCAGATATAGGCACTTGTGATTCCTGACATGTCATTTAAAAGGAAAATCCCACTGGGGCTTGTGTTTAGGTATTATTATTATTATTAAACCATTCAAATAGAACTTTCTATGTAACTTAAGGGAGCTCTGGTAGCATAGTGGCTAAGGCACTTGACTGCTAACCAGAAGGCTGGCGGTTCAAACCCACCAGCCACTCCTCGGAAGGAAGGTTGGCAATCCTACTTCCGTAGTGATACTGCCTCGGAAACCCAAGGAGGGGTCGCTATGAGTCAGGGCTGACTCAGCGGCACACAACAACAACAACAACAACAACAATGTAACTTAAATCCAAATGAAAAAGCTCTCTAACTCCTCAAATGTGTAAGGTAATTGTATAACACCAGATCAAACATGGTGCCATTGAGTCAACTCTAACTCATGGCAACCCCATGTGTTACAGAGTAGGACTGCTCCATAGGGTTTTCTTGGCTGTAATATTTAAATAAGCAGATCACCAGTCTTTCTTGTTGGCACCAACCTTTAGGTTCAAACCACCATCCTTTAGCTTAGCAGCCGACTGCACATCGTTTGCACCACCTAGGGACCTCAGTTAGGCGTATAAGCATAACCTAAGGTGTCTTCAGGAGCTCTGGTAGCATAGTGCCTAAGGCACTTGACTGCTAACCAGAAGACTGGCGGTTCAAACACACCAGCCACTCCTCAGAAGGAAGGTTGGGCATCTACTTCTGTAGTGATACTGCCTTGGAAACCCAAGGAGGGGTTGCTATGAGTCGGGTCTGATTCGATAGCAAACAACAATAACACAAGGTGTCTTCACTTTCAAGTTCTCCTTAAATGTACTTTTATTACATATACAAGTGCTGTCTGAGTCATTAAGAGCTGAGTCTAAAACTTAATCCTGTACTGTTTTTGTTGAGGCATTTGTTTGATCATGTCTTCATTTGGAGAGACTTTGCTAGCTACGGAGTAGAGTTGGCTGTAATCTTTATGGTTGGCTATAATCCTTATAGAAGCTGATCTCCAGGCCTCAATCTTCTGCAGTACTGCTGGATGGGTTTGAACTGGCAGCCTTTAGTCTACCAATCTAGCACAGATTGTCTGTGCCATCCAGGGACCTTACTCCTATGTGTCTTACTTTTGGGATCTTTTTCCCGTTATATTCCACACAAGATGGCTCCTGGCTGGTTTATATGTGAGGTGATCTGTTAAAAACCTCTGATGAAGAATTTAGCTGAAAAGTAGACCTCCAGGAAGGGTGTGGTGTGTGTCAGAAGAGGGCTCTAAATGTATCAGAATAAGCACTTTCACGTTTGCCACCAGAAAGCCAAGAGTGCGAATCCCTTTAGAATGTCATTAAGTAAATTGAGGGAGCCTAAACAGAAAAACGTTTCTCCTGAATTATTTGCCTTCTCTCAGAATATGGAGAATGCACACACAGCTGACTAGAAGGAAAGGAGGGATGGGGAAACCCATAAAGATTGTGCACATGATGTTTTATTATGTGAAAAATGGCACGCAGCTTGTAATAGACTAAACATTCAGGGATGCATGGTCTGTAGTCATTCTTGTCTTGCCTCGCCCCACCCTTCACAAAAAAAAAAAAAAATTCCAGAGATTTCTTACAAATTCTTCAGTCTGAAACCAATTCCAGAAATATGGTGTGGAAAAAAAAATCTACTGGACTGAATATCAAAATATCAATGATTTAGGGTTAGCTCTGCACTAAAGCTAGTGCACTATGCATCTTTGGCCAAATCTCTCAACCTCTTTGAGACACAGTTTCCCAACATATAAAACAAGAGGGCTGACCAGGATGATTTCTCACAGTTTTAGCAGTGTATGGTTTCTTCTCTTTCTTTCCTTGTAAATAAATATGGACATAAAATGTGTATTATTTTAAGTTAGATTTAAAACTAACTTAAAACTTTCATCACGTAGGGAAATGAGTAATTTGGGATCCTAAATGTTGTACCAATAATGACAGGGGAAGACCATCAACAAGATGGATTGACACAGTGGCTACAACAATGGGCTCGAGCATGGCAAGGATTATAAGGATGGTGTAGGACAGGGCAGTGTCTTGTTCTGTTGTACATATAGTCTCTATGAGTTCGAGCTGACTTGATGGCACCTAACAACAATGACAGGGGTTACTGTTGCTTCGAATAAAATAAAGTGAAACAAAAAATATTGCCAATGAGTTGACTCTGACTCATAGCATCCTCATGTATGTCACAGCAGAACTGGGTTTTCAATGACTGGTTTTTCAGAAGTAGGTCACCAGGCCTTTCTTTTGAGGTATCTTTGGGTGGCTCTGAATGGCACCAACCTTTCAATTAGCAGCCAAGTATTTAACCATTTGTGCAACCCAGGAACTCTGCTTCTAATAGTTTCCTTGAAATCAAAGATATAGGTACCTCCTCGGACGCCTTTAAATGGGTAGAAAAACGCCACCAGCAAATTCATCAGGACAGCCAGGTTAAAGGAAATGCTGCTCCAGAAGGACATGTTGCGGGCACACCAATACAGAACCGGCTGGGCTGTGGACACAAAGACGAGCCATGGGAGTGAGACTGCCAGTCAGTATGCCGGGCATTCAACACCACCCTTCCGCCCGCTCTTCCCCCACAAGTCCAGTTTTGTTCCCAGTTTTTACCACAACAGTCAAAATGATCATTTGTTTTGAAGTTGACTCATAGGGTCATAATGACAACAGATTGGTTTATTTCTGTTTGGAGCACTTACTGGAACAGAGGGTGTATTTGGGGGCAAGGGAGAAGAGGAGGAGAAAAGTTGGTGCATCTAGAAACCAAGTGCCCCAGTCAACACCAGGCATGGAATCTAGGGGTTACCCAGAGTTCACCCTTTGAGTCCTTAGTTCCCCTCAGGGCTCCTGGACCAGATAAGATGCCCAGAGAGATGCAAGAATTCAATTAGCATTCCAGAAGTGTGGGGAAGGTGGGGGTGGAGGGACATAGCATTCAGAGTTGGGCCAGCTGGGTTGCAGATGAGGACTGGTACCATGTCCACATTGTTCCCTTGCTCATAATTATTAACTGACTTGCTGGTGCCTAAAAGCAAGACAATGATCCCCTTCCTGACAATGAGTCACTAGCCATCTCCCTGAAGTCTTATGATCACTCTTGTTGTGCGGGGAGCTAGGAGTGAGAGTTGCTGACTGGTTGGTGAGTAGAGATCTCTGATTCAAAATGCTACAGGGAAAGGATGTGGTGCTTAAGCCATCACAAAGGGGGCAAGAGACACTTTAGATATTATTATCACCTTTATTGTTACCATAGGGGATACAGTAGGGGGCATTCTCAGTCTTAGAACAAAAACCCATGGCCACACTTCTGTGTGCAATGGTGTGTCATTCCCCCCTGAACTCTTTTTCAGTGGTCCTTTACCCTTAGGATAATGCTCAAAATCAGTCTCTGTGCCAGAAGCAAAGTTTTAAAAAGATAGTCTCATCCAACGTTCTTGCCCTCCTGAGCATGGAGTACACAAGAATGGATCTCTACCATGCATTTCTTGTTCCCAAAGAAGCCATCATATAACTTTAGGACAGTAGCTAATGAGAAACCCAATGGCCCTATAATGAAGCTAATAGGTGCAGCCAAGCCTTTGGAAGCTTCCTTCCAAAATAAAGTTATAGGACAATTAAAAAGAGCCCCAGTTAATTTAATAATTGCTGGTTTCATATTTTACTTGGTAATAGGCAATGTTTCTAAGCTGTAGAGTCTAAGAGTGATGAGCAATCATTTAGTCTAAAATCACTCATTTTAGAAATGAGGGAAACAGGTCCAGCCGAGGCCAGAAGCTGTGGAGATGTCATTAACAGTAATGTCAGTAATTCTTGGATAACCTGGGTCACTTAACCAGGTCAACAACAGGGAGAAAAATAAGTGCTCATGTCACTACTCAACAGAGTAGTTGACTAGGATTCAATCAACTTACAATTAACAATTTACTCTTTTGTTTAATTTAACTGCTAAAGCCAAGTTAAGATGATAGGTCATCTGCTCTGGAAACAACAGCTACTGGTGTTTCATTGGGGACAAGTATGTATCTGTTGTAGATATGAAAAACATTTTTGTAAGAGGATAGAAGAAATGAATGATAAGAAACTCAGTGCTGTTGATGGTTGAAGCTGAGTGACGGGTACATGAGAATTCATATCACTCTCTACACAGTGGTGGTGGTGGTGTTAGTTACCAGCAAGTTGGTTCTGACACATGTATAATACAGCAGAACTGCTCCCTTGGGTTTTCTTGGCAGTAATCTTAACAAAAGCAATCACTAGGGCTTTCTTCTGCAGAGCTACTAGGTAGGATCCAACTGCCAACCTACAGGTTAGCAGCTGAGCACAAACAATTTGCATGATCTAGGAAACTTCCTTTCTACATTAGTGTATGTAAAAAAGTTCACAATAAGGAGTTTTTCTTTTCTTTTTTTTTTAAAAAGGGAATGGCAAAGCTCAGTGACAGACTGTATAAAGCCAGCATTCTTTTCAGAAAGAGCTCTCAATATCAAACATGAGGCCATTCACTGTTGGATACTTTAATACAACTGTAATAAATTACCTTTGGAACTATGGCATAGAGTTCACAAATATATCTTATTTTTTATAAGGCTAACATTCCACTTAAATTGTTGTATCACTTCCATGCACGCCCTCTGTGGTGATTTAAAAATATGTCCACAAATTCTTTGATGTTCCTCCCTCCAAGAGGTAGAGCTTAATTTCCTTTCCAATGAGGGTGGGCTGGACTTAGGAATTTTCTTCTAATAAAATAGAATACAGTAGAAGAGATGGTGTGTGACTTCCAAGACTAGGTCATAAAAGGCATTGAGGCATCCTCTCTGCTCTCACTCTCTCTTTTGAATCATTTGCATCTCTCTCTTGAACCAAGTGCCATGTTCTGAGAACACTTAAGCAGAGCTATGGAGAGGCCCATGTAACAAGGAACTGAGGCCTCCTGCCAACAGCCATGTGAGTGAGCTTAGAAGTGGATTCTCCAGGTGCAGTCAAGTCTTTGTTGAATCCTGACAGCAACCTCATGGAAGAATCTGAACCAGAAAGCCCCAGCTAAACTACTCCTAAGTTTCGGACCCTGAGAAATCATGAAATAATAAATGTTTATCATTTTAAACCACTGAGTTTTGGTTAATTTGTGACTCAACAATAGGATAGAACAATAGGATAGGCAAAATAATGGGCACCCTAAGATGTCCATGTGCTAATCCCCAGAACCTGTGAATATGTCATCTCATATGACAAAAGGGCCTTTGCACATATGATTAAGTGAAGGATCTTGAGATGGGGAGATTCTCCTGGATTATCTGGTTGGGCTCAAAGTAATCATAGGCTTCTATTCAGTGAAAGAAGAAGGTAGGAAAGTCATTCAGAGTGAAGCATGGGGAAGACCGACTGACCATTGCTGGTTTTGAAGGCAGAGGAAGGGGCCAAGAGCCAATGAATGCAGGTAGACTCTGGAAGCTGGAAAAGGCAAAGAAACAAATCCTCCCTTATAGCCTCCAGAGGAATGCAGGCCTGCCAACACCTTGATTTTAGCTCAGTGAGAACTATTTCAGACTTCTGACCTCTAGAAGTGTAACATAATAAATGTGTTTTAAGCTGCCAAAACAAAACAAAAAAAAAAAACAAACTCACTACCGTCGAGTTGGATCTGACTCATAGCAGCCCCTCCTTGGATTTCCAAGACAGTATCACTACAGAAGTAGATTGCCTCATCTTCCTTTCAAGGAATGGCTGGTGGGTTTGAACCACCAGACTTCTGGTTAGCAGTCAAGTGCCTTAGGCACTACGCTACCAGAGCTCCGTTAAGCTGGCAAGTTCGTGATAATTTGTTACAGCAGCAATAAGATACACCTTCCCTCCTCCAATCTCTCAGGACTGTGTTTGTCCAAGTCTTACCTATCCTTCTAGGCAATATTCAAACCTTACTTTTTCTACTTCCACAATGTGTTCTCTTCCTCAATCACAGCCATTGAAAAACATGTCTTTGTGGACTGTCCTCATCAGTCAGTAAGTTTCTGCAGGAAGGAATTTTAGCTTACATATTGAATTCCTCACTGTATGTTATAGCATGTTTTCTACTTAAACAACCAGTTGATTGTTGTCATGGTGACCTCATGTGTGTCAGAGTAGAACTGAGCTCCACAGAGCTTCCAGTGGCTCATCTTTTGAGAGTAGATCACAAGGCTTTCTTCTGAGGTGCCTGTGAACCGTGAAGGGCTAAAAGTTGGTTGGTTCTACTGATGCTTCTACATTATAGCAAAAACACAGAGTTGTCATGATCCCAGATAGAAAGGGAAATTTAAATAACTTTAACTTAGGATCTTGAGGGAAGGATGTCAAGCTGGGTCAGAGAGATGATGTGAAAGCACAGAATATATACATATATACATATGTACATATGTGTATATGGTATGTGTGTGTGTGGTGACATGTGAGTAGGTACATACATGCTCATATGTCATGTGAGTAGAAGAGAGTTTCTGGAGAACACAGCATTTAGGGATGTTAGTACTTGCAGAAGAAAATACTAAGCAACATCAGTCTTAGACCACAATTTGTGTCTCAGATGTAGCTACAGGCTTACCAAAGTACAGGTTACCCTTCCATGATACAGTCAAGAAAAGGTAAAGGAGTTACACAAATAAACCAGAAAATTTTTGGCAGATTTATTAGAAGATAAATAAGCTACTTAGGGGGGCTGAAAAATCCATTTTATTAAATTGCACTTCTAATGAATCTATTTCTTCCCTCCCTCTATGTATGTAATCATGTTTAATTCAGTTAGTATTTTCAATTTCTCTCTTACCAGCAGAAAGCTTTGAAGCCAATTAAAATCTTTCAGTTGACAACTATGGTTGGGTTTAATCTTCACTGAAACAAAAACTTAAATATATATATATATATATATCTATAT